ATTCGCGACAGTTCCATGGCAAAGATTTTGCTTTGCCAAGTCTAAAGGGTGTTCATACTTAATAAGTCTCTTTAGCATTTTCTATTATGGGTTTTATTACGGCTCAACTTAATGACCCACCTATAAATCCCTTTCTTATACTCGCAATAACACTGCATTGTTGCAGTTCTTTCCCACTTGGTACTTTGATAAAGCCACACTATTACTAATAGCTCAAGTCAACACTTTGAACTAAGAATTTTATTCTTTAACTTCATAAAGACCTTGTCCTTGTTTTAGCCATAAGATCACTTAGTGATCTAACTTTGGCACTTTAACAGGTTTGCAAATAAATACTAAATCTTCCAGACATTTAACTTATTGACCATGACCTCGGGGGCATCCCCCACATTTGGTGGTGCACCCAAGCTAGCCCTTCCAACCAAGGACCCATAGCAACTAAAACTAAGTGTCCCCATCTCATTCACCATGACCTTGGTGTAGGGGGTTCCAAAAGTATAGTAGGAAGAGTGTAGGGGTTGGATCCCAATGGAGCCAGTTTGGCCAAAAAAGGCTAGTTTGGCCCAAGAAGGCTATGCCTAGGTGCTAGGCAATGAGATAACCACTGGGAAGTCCAAAGCTAGAGTGAATATGAACTAACAAGTGGGATAGTTTAGTGAAGTGTTTAAAAGCTAACTCTAATTCCCTCGAGAGATTGAATGGTCGATGCTTCCAGTCCAAGTGTGGGTGGCACTACCTACTTGGATATCTGGTGTGGCTTAACGAAATCTTGCTCTAAGCCCATGGCTAGAGCACCCAAAGGCGAAAGGCGAGGAGAGTACCCATGAGGCTCACATAGGGCCACGATGTTCCAAAATGTTATCCCAAAGTCCCGGATGGTGAAAAGGAAGAGGAGTAGTTATTGGTGTAGTGACCAAGGATGCAGTCACATAACAAGGAAATCCTAGAGAACAAAGGGACTTAGTGGTCAAGCCTGTGAGTCTTGATCTAGTGGCAGTGTTAGCTAATACGGCCATAGACAGAAAGGGACTTGGTAGGGACTGGAAAAGAGATATTAGGGAAGGCTATTCCCCATGTCTGCAGACATCCTAAAGATACCAAGGAGTGGATCTAGTATGGTCATTCATGGATGGATGGCCTAGTCTTTGAGAGACGGGACTATGATGTAGGTGGTGTTGGACCACCAGTGTGATCAAGGTGAATGGGCATGGCCTTAGCGTAACGGGTTGATATGTTGGTGGTACCTTAAGTGCCAGTCATGGGATCGGGCACGTGGAGCACTTAGACTAAGTGCAAAGGTTGTGTGGCATGGATGCTATTCTCGGGGTTAGCAAGCCCTAAGTCCTGAATTGGACTTATAGATGTAAATGAAACTCCTTTAAGTGGTTGGAGATATGGTTAAGTGGCTAAAGTAGAATGGAAAAATTAGTTGTTTACATAGACTCCATCTCGAATTCCATTTTAGGTCCATTTTGGACTCTATCTTAAACTTCTTCTTGGACTCTATCTTGGGTCCCTCTTGTGTCCCTTTTTTAGAGATTCATTTATTGTTTGCTTCGTGCTTATTCTTCGAACACTCCGTTGGGAGTTCCACTTCTGCTCTTGACTTTTCGAATTGGAGATTTTAGTCCAAATGTGTTACACTCATTTGGCTCCTACTTCAACCACTACATAGCACCCTTTTAGCTCCTTTTTGGGGCCTAGGGATTTTATGTCTCACAAAGGGGTGTATTTTTATTCATGGGCCCTTTTCTTTTATATTTGAACCTTTATGGATCATCTTTTAAATCATTCTCTTTTATTGTTTACATCTCACGTAATTGACCAAAAGTACACTTAATCTCATTATTATATAGTTTATTTTCTTGCAATTTTTAAAACACTAACTCGAAGTGTTTCAAATGATCCTCTAACTTTTCACTAAAGACTAGAATGTTATTGATATACAAAACAACAACAAATGTGTCTAAATAATTTTTAAATATTCTATAGCATCTTCAACAGGAGATTCCTCCCCTTGATTTGCTTGGCTTTTCAATGACTTTTTATAATCATATTAATTTAGTCATGTTAAGTATGCTTAACTAATAGTATTTTAGAATTCTGTCCTTATACTCTTATGGTTAAATATATATGTGATTAGTTCCTCAACTAACTTAGGCAGAGATTAATAAAAGGGACTAGTAATACTGACCTCTTGTCATCATAATAGTGTAAGAAACTAAAGATAACAATTTGATAAATGATTCAATGGGTAAAGGGAAAAAATTTATAAATAAGAGTGCACTTTTTTTTCCAATCAGTTCAAGATTTTAAGTAGGGTTAAGCATACTTGGGTTTTGAGCTGGAGTTACTAGGTTGGATGACTTCTAGAAGTCCAAAATTAAGAACTATATATATAATATCTTTTTAATTTATTTTTATTTTAAACTTAAACTCCTATAAGATTAGAAACCAGCAAGTCACTTTCTCTATCCTATATAGCTTTAAAATATTTGTAAACAAGGCCATTTTAAGCATATGATATGAGAAAAAAAAACCTAAGAATATAGGAATCTTTATGCTTTATTTCATCAAATATAAAACATGCCTCTTGCCTATACAGCTACTTAAGCAAAAAGAATCTGCATTGCTCTCATCTAAAAGATTCTTCTAAATTAGTTAAAAATGACAAATGATTTACATAAAATCATCAATTGCTTATGAAAGTCTTCCTCTCTTTTGCAAATCTAAAATTCAAAGAGCATTTACATCCTTGTTCCCCCAATTTCTAATCCTTGTTTATATAACCAGTTGATATATATTTTTATTATCAACAATAACACTAGATGCTTGCTTGGTTTCCTGCCACAAAAGAAAACTAAAACTGAAAAACAAACTTTAATATAAAAAAAACTTTTTCTTTCCTTCCAATTGATCTCCTTGAGATTAGTATATAATAATTATTGTGCTAATTGCCTTCTTTGAAAGAAAAGAAAAAGAAATTAAATCCATCTCCTATAAAAGAAAAAATGGCATACTTCATCCTGTGTTTAGGGCTCCATTCCTCCTTGGTACTTCCAATAAGAATCTCTATAAAAATAGTACCCGAATCTCTACCCAATAGTAGTTTGATTTACAAATGGACTGAACCCTAGAAAACCTAAATTAATTTCTTCTCAGAAATATTTGAAGTTTCTAAATCTTTTTTATCAGGAAAGATTAAGCAAAATTTTCAGATTAACCAAATGTTCTTCTCAGGTAGTATAAAACAAATATTTCCTATTGGAAGACATTTTTTCTGCCATGAGATTTTTGCTGTTGGGAGGCTGTTATGAGATTTACCCATTGGCAAAATGTGTACCTATCAGTGTATTTATATGATGCAATCAGGAAATCACTATAAGGAGTAATATTTCTTCGTCTCTTCTCATTTTTCTGCTTTGTTCTTTACTTTTCTACTTTCTACTCAATAGTGCAAGAGATGGCAAGCAATAATCTAAGGAATGCATCAATAGTGGAGGATAATCTCGTCACAGAATTGAGGACACCCACATTGATGGCATGGAAGAGCAAGAAGTGCAAGAATGACAAGGCCACAAGTATCACTTGCAAGGGGAATGAGTTGATAATCAAAATATCAACTCATAATAGTGTTATTTTTGCAAGTTACTAGTGTTTGCAAGAGGAATCAGTCGATAATCAAAATATCAGCTCATAATAGTGTTATGTTTGCAGTTACTAGTCATTTAAGCATCATCCATTCTCTAGCGCCAAATTTTCCAAATGTTGCTTACTTGCATAGTGTGTTAGTGCATGGTGCTTTAGCAATGCAATATAGGAGTCCTACTAGCCTTATTTTTTGCAACAACTGCTTGCGCCTTCTCTCTATAATAGCCAGTGGTGGGATTTAACTAGGTACATTGTTTTTCGGATGCTTGGTGACATTTTTTTTCCTAATTTGGCCAAGCAATCTTTTGTCCATGCATAATTCCAAAAGCAACTCATTCTCTCTGTGATCACCAATGCATCAGCCCATGTTCATGTAAGTAAGCTATAAAGTTCTTACTTCTTCTAATTTGCAGCTAGAACTGACTTTTTCATCTTCTTCAATGTTAGGGCTCTAGAAAGACTTTTTGAAGAATGAGAGGATTTATAAATCCTAGATGACAAAAGACCATTGAACACAACTAACAATCAACGAACTCAAACTGTGGTGCCTGCAAAACAATCGGGTAGTTTGTGTATTTAAAGTCGATCTCTTTCCCCTCACATTCGGATCTATACTGAAAAAGGCCGTGCTCAATCATAGAGTCAACTGTGTCCTGGAAATTCTCTAGTGTCTACTTTTCGTCAGCATCCCGAGCGAAAGATCGAATTGAGTGTGCTAATGGCACGGACGCTTGCTTCTTTTTTCCAGCTTCCTGCACTCCATTTACACTAGCCTGCTTCACTCATTGGCACAAATCCTGCAGCAACGAAGCCCTGCCGCTTGACTAGTCAAACATCGCATCCCACAAAGCTTCCACCCTAGCATTCCTCTCGGATACAAAAGCCAACGCCTCATCCTTGGGATATTTCTTACGCGCCGGCAGGTGAATCCACCGCAAGCTGACGAGAGCAGCACAACATTCGCCTTGCACTCATCCTTGGAGATATTGACCAGCTTCTTCATCAGCTTGTCAACCTCACTAAGCTCCCAGTATGATCAAGAACGTTGGCCTCGTCAATGAAGACGGTTGGAAAAACACCTATGTAGCCATTCAGAGAAGTTCATAGGTGTTTGCAATGATTACCCAACTTCTATCGTTCCACCGTAGAATGATAAGTCAGTCCCGTCGATCCCGTCCAAATAATAGACATACTCGCTGCAAGGCGCCTTCTCCAGATCGGCATCCACTTGGGTTATCGAGAGTCTTGCCAACTCATGAACCACGGCCGACTTTCCCGAGTCTTTTGACCGACGGTGACCAGCTGAGGGTCGCCCAGCTAACTCAATTGGAAACATTACTAAACCCATGTGATACAGATAATTATCAATTAACTTCCAACAAAGGTTTTAAAGATAACATTTTCAGCAATGTAATTCACACAGGTAAGGAAGGTCCCTCCAACTTTCAATTCAAAGCCCGGTGTGAGTACCGGTGTGGGTGCCGGGGACGTGAGCTCCCGTGCCAGTATGGCCGGTGCCGGTGTGGGTGCCCGTGCCAGTATGGCCGGTGGCGGCCGACAGGGGGTTGTGTGTGCCGGTGTGAGTCCCCGTGCCAGTATGACCGGTGGCGCCCGACAGGGGGTTGTGTGTGCCGGTGTGTGTGCCAGTATGAGTCCCCGTGCCAGTATGACCGGTGCCGGTCGACAGAGGATTGTGTGTGCCGGTGGTGTGGCCGAGCCCCGTATCGTGGTGCCCAATCCCGTGCTTCTTCTCCTCCGCCTTGGCGATGTTCTCCGCCTGCTTCTCGTGGAGGTGTCCCGCCGCCTCCGCCTCCTTCATGTGCTTCCTCTCCTTGGCCTCGTGCTTCTCGGCCTTGTTGTGCGCGGTCACCTTTTCAGCCTGAACGAAGACCACACCAATGAATTGATCAGCACAAAGCTCAATCGATCGATATGAGAGACAACGACACGACAATCGCTCGGACCATCTAATAACAAATATAAAAGATACTACTCAATTCGGTTCATTAGAGACACCAACGTGAAGCATTTTGAGATCGAGCAAACATCCCGGATTGAAAAAAGGGGGAAGATCTCACCTTCTCGGTGCCCGAGGCCTTAGCCGAATCCATCTTCTCCCCGGCCTTGGCCATCGCGTTGCCGGTCTTCTCCTGCACTGCGGCGGTGGCATTCCTAACACCCTGCATCTTCGAACACCTTTCGAATCAAACGATCTCGACTAGAAATCTCTTCGCTGATCTGATCACAACCAAAAGAACTAGAATGCGTCACGTTCTCTATCCATAGCGCTTATATACACATCGCCCAGGCTAGAACCACGCGCCACGTATCGACCATCCTAGTGACGACACGTGCATTTCTTATGTGACGTGTCTCTCATGCACTGGCCTGCGCTGGCGAGCGGCCATTGACGGAAAAGGCATCTTCTTAGAATGTATTACATATTGGCGAGGGAATAATCTTCTCTCACTAGGTAGTACGTGGCTTATTTTGAGTGGGATCTCTTTTCTGAGGTGTCCTTGAGCGAAGGTTGAGCTGATAATTCACTGGAAATTTGCGAGCTATCTGGCGATGGTGATTCTAAAGAGCTAAGATCATCGCTCGAGCTAGCTTGAGCCTGTAGAAGTAGAAAAGCAAAAACACAAAGACACATATATCGCTTAAGATCTCGAGAAACTAAACTTTTCAGAGCGATCGAAACTTACGTGTGAGAGATTGCTGCTCCAAATCATCCCACCGCTGCTGCTGCTGCTGCTGTTGTTCTCGAGAGCTGGCTGACAATACAAGTTCGTCAATCCAGACGATGAAAAGTTCCTGCCAAGATCCACACTCGTTGGAAGAAAGCTCGAGCTATAAACTCCAAGTATATCGGCAAGACCACCTTGAAAAACACCGGTGCTAGGCGACTCGGGCTTCAGCGGACACGGCAAAACCACACCCATGAGAGGTCCGCTGGCCAGAGAAACACCCGAGGCCGGGGAAACCAGAGGAAGCGAGAAACCCAGAGGAGGAAGGAGCGGAGGTGGCGGCCCGACTGACACGAAAGAAGCGGCTGCCGAGGACGAAACCAGCGATGGAAGGTGAGAAGTGAAAGTCGAGTACTGCAAAGCCGAGGCGGCTCCAAGCGGACATGGGCAGTAGTAAGGAGCCACGACTGCCGAGAGAGGAACGCTAGGAACACTTACGGAGCCACTTACTAGGAGCGGGAATGGAACGAAGGTCTGTGGGAGTGATCCAAGGATTCTCTGCGCGAAAGCCTTCTTGTCGAGCTCTCCCGAGCTTCTCAGCAGCCGCTGGCTCTGGTTGAGTGAGAAGAGCGTCGCGGCGATGGAGCTGGAGCCAGGAACAGTGGTGGAAGTCGACGAGGCGAGGCCAAAGGACATGCCTATTGCTGCTGCCGCAAGCGCTTGCGAGCACACTGCGCTTGGAGCATCGTCTCCTTCACTCGAACAAACAAATGGATTGCTCAAACTTGGAAGTGGCAAAGAACCTGGCAGCAGAGCTTCTGGGCCGGAAGGAAACGAGGACGAAGAAGACGGTGGCAAAGTTTGCAAGCCGCTGGCGATCGACTTGAGACGCGACTCGTGGATGCCTGTCTGCTGACACAAGGTTGGCCTTTGTTGCAAGATATCTTTCATCTGTAGCACAACAAAGGCACGAACGTTTTTCTTTAGCTCTTCTCTAGAACAGACAAAAAGGGATGAAGAAAAATGTGACTGACCTTGAGGACTAACTCATCTCCACGAGCTTTGGACTTTTCCGATTGCCAGAAGAACACCGATCTGTTTGAGGCGAGTTTGAGGACGAAGGATCTGCCGGAAGAGTCCGTAGCGATTTCTTGCAGCTCAACTGGAAAAGAGCCTTGGATTGGTGACGAAGAAACTAGAGCCAGTCTTTCGATCGTCCCATCATCGCCCAGGAATGAGAGACGTAAGTCGGAGCTGGGCAGCATCGTCAGATCGAGGTGACCCCTGCGGCAAAAGAAAAGAGAAGAGTAAACCACCCAGCCTTTGGAAATCACAAAGATCTTACGCTATACCTTGAATTTGTTGGACGGAGAAAGTAGCCATGGCTGACAATTCTTCCAACGCGAATCGAGACGAGAGGGGCACATAGACACCGAGCAAGCGTGGCGACTTCCTCCGAAGAGAATTTCTCGCTGTTTGACGACGAAGCAGCAGCATCCAATGACGAGCTAGACAAGGAGATTGCCACAAACCCTGAATCCGCCGCTGGGCGTGGTGAAGCATCGGATCCGGAGCAAGCACTATCCGACGATGGATTGGAGCCGTCTGGTCTCTCAACATCCGCCGCATTCGCCTTACCGCATTCCCAGCCGCTGTTCTTATCAGCGTCCATCGCCACCAGCCCTAACCTAGGGAAATATTCGGCGAATACTTTAAATCGATTCTTTATGCAAGGGTTTGTAAATGAATAAAATCTTCTCTGACTCAATTTATTTTAATTTTAACAAACATGATGTTTTACTATTCAGATTTTTCACTCTGACACCAATATATTTACTAATTTGTAATAATAATCCGAAATATATTTCATAAGCATGCAGTCAGTGTTCCATCCATATTGCCAATAAATTCATTGAGATCAATCTTCTTGATATCACCCCCACACTGTGTTACTAATATGTGCTTGTCCTCTAAGGTTACACCACTGCAGGATCCCAGGAAATTACCAAACTCTTTTCGGTGCAAGTTGTGGTCTGCAGCAAACTGCACCAAATCATTCAGGTCCAAGTCTGTGCCATGGGTAGATTTGTCCTTCTTGATGCAATTTCCATTCAGCCAGGAACCATCCTTGATCACAACATCGTCGCAAGTCTCTGAGTAGTCCTTGACGTCCTCGTTGCACTATCAACAGAGAATTAAGAAATTTTCCCACTGCCAACATGAAATTTACATGGGGCCTTTCAACTAGTATGGCACTTGCAGTGACGATCAAAGCAAATAGTATTAGAGGAGAAGCATAGCCCATGCCTTGGTTGCTAAAACTATATGAGAAGCTCCGCAATAGTTTATTTTGGTTGAATTTAACAATGACATAGGAATACAGAAATATACATAGCCTATGTACAGGAGCGGCAAGAATCGCAATATTATTTCGAACCACGTGGAGTAATATCCATTTATCTATATAGAACTTTACAATAATTAAACCAAGCAGAATCAAATATAATTCTTTTCGCATATCTCTTTTAGCCCCTGCATTTTAGGGTTTCTCTTTTAACTTAGGGGACTTAGAGGAGGAGGAGGAGAGATCTCTGGCGATGGATGGAAGCGGCAACTCGCTCGCCTCGGGGCCGGAGGGGCGGAGCAAGCGCGTCGCCTACTTCTACGACCCCGAGGTAGGGAACTACTACTACGGCCAGGGCCACCCAATGAAGCCGCATAGGATCCGGATGACCCATTCCCTCCTCGTCCACTATGGCATTCACAACAAGCTCGAGGTTCTCAAGCCCCTCCCCGCCAAGGACCGGGACCTCTGCCGCTTCCACGCCGACGACTACGTCGCCTTCCTCCGGGTCATCACTCCCGAGACGCAGCACGAGCACTTGCGCGCGCTCAAACGATTCAATGTGGGCGAGGACTGCCCGGTTTTCGATGGCTTGTACTCGTTTTGCCAGACTTATGCCGGTGGATCCGTCGGTGGCGCTGTCAAGCTCAACCATGGTCACTCGGACATTGCGGTGAATTGGTCTGGTGGATTGCATCACGCGAAGAAGTGCGAGGCCTCGGGGTTTTGCTACGTCAACGACATTGTTCTTGCCATCCTGGAGCTTCTCAAGTACCATGCTGTAAGTTTTTCGTGGTTTTCTCTGTCGAGAGAGAGTTTTATAGCTACAAAATTCTTTCCTATGCTTGTTTGTGTTTTTCTTTGTTCTCTTTCGGCAGTAGTTCTCTCGCTGTTGCAAAATACCTTGTTTTTTCCTTACTCCTAAAGCTGCTACAAGCTTCTCTTGAGTTCTCATCCTTCAATGCTGCTACAAAGTTTCTCTCGTACTTGCGCTTGTTTTCACTTTGTTGCATAGCCACAAAGTTCTCATGGCTCTTTCTTGTTTCTCTTTCCAGCGAGTTTTGTACATTGACATTGATATACACCACGGAGATGGTGTCGAGGAGGCCTTTTACACCACAGACCGTGTCATGACCGTCTCCTTCCACAAGTTCGGGGACTACTTCCCCGGAACCGGGGACGTGAGGGACATGGGACACGCCAAAGGGAAATACTATTCTCTCAACGTCCCGCTCAACGATGGCATCGACGATGAGAGCTACCATTCTTTGTTCAAGCCGATCATCACCAAAGTGATGGAGGTTTTCCAGCCGGGGGCTGTCGTGTTGCAGTGTGGAGCCGACTCGCTGTCCGGGGACCGGCTTGGATGCTTCAACCTGTCGATCAAAGGCCACGCTCAGTGTGTTAAGTTCATGCGGTCTTTTAACGTTCCGTTGCTGTTGCTCGGAGGCGGAGGCTACACAATCCGCAACGTTGCTCGGTGCTGGTGTTACGAGGTTTGTACGACTTGAGAAACAAGCTCTCTTTTACTTTGGTTTCTTGATTAGAACAACACCTTGCCTTGCAGACTGCTGTTGCTGTAGGCGTGGAGCTAGAGGATAAAATGCCATACAACGAGTATTACGAGTACTTTGGCCCGGATTACACGCTCCACGTTACTCCGAGCAACATGGAGAATCAAAACTCGGCTCAGTACCTGGAGTCCATAAGGTCTGATTTCATTTTTTACTTCTCTGTCCTTGAGTACGATGTCTTTGTATTCACTGAGTGCACAGGAATCGACTCCTGGAGAACTTATCGAATTTACAGCATGTACCAAGCGTACCATTCCAGGAGAGACCACCTGATACTGATCTTCCAGAAGAGGTCTCCCTCTCTGTGGCTTCTACATGGTGAAAAGCTGAGAAGTTGTTTATAACTGTAGGAGGAGGAAGACCTCGATACGCGTGAGAAAGGTCGGGCTTACTCAGACTCGGAGTCTGAGGAAGACGAGCCTCGCAGGAGTCGTCACCAAAGTCCTAACGACGCTGCCATATCCAGGTTTGCAAACAAACAAAGCCGAGCATCGTCATACTTTCGTGCTCTCTTTCTTTATCTTTCTTTATCTTGCGTTGAGCTAATATCAAGTGTCCGGCTGCGTCTTTTACAGGCGACAATCACCCTCGGCAAGAGATGACCGCATCAAAAAGGAAAAAGAAGAACTTATGGTACGAGGACAATGAATTTTCTTATTTCCTTGCTTCTGACGGGACTATTATATCTGTGTGAAGGACGAAGGAAGTGATATCGACGGGGATCTACCCAAGGCTCAGCAAGAACCTCAAGATGACCAGGTTTATATACCTCTCTCTAGATTCTATGGCTGAAAAACCACCGAAAACAACAACAAAAACCATTTTTTGGCAGCCGACTGCGATGGAAACCGATGCCAAAGCCGAGGAGAAGTGCTCGTCCTTGCTCCCGGATGCACCCTCGGCCCCCCTGGCCTCGTCCGCGGACACAGCGCACGAACCAAACGAGCAGAGCACGAGCAACACAAATTGGCAACTTGTGACGACCTCCACTGCTGCTACGGCCGCAGCGATGAATGCTCGAAGTCCATTAGCTCCTCCCGCTCTTAATCAAGCTCCCCCGAGCTCGACAGCCATCGCCACTGCTGCTTGGACGCCTCCAACTTCTGCCACAGTCGTAGCTCGGCTGCCTCGATTCTCCGCGAGCTCTGGAGCTCCAGTTGCTGCCACTGTCACTGCCACCGCCACGGTTACCGCTGTTACGAGCTCCACAGTGGCGAATTCTCCAGCTCCAGCGCCAGTTCCAGCGGCTCTAGCTCGTGTGACCGAAGCTCCCACACCAATGACTCCTTAAAGGTAAGCTCTCGAAAAAACTCTTCTTTGCTCTAACACAAGTTTTCTCTTTTTAGAAAGCCATCGAGCTAACAGTACTTATAGGATTTGGATCATCCACAAGAGGAGAATTTACGAGCCAAGCAAGCTCTTGTTCTCTAAAGCTTTGTAAGCTAAATTTTTTCTCTCTATTATGCTCGAATCTTTCTAAGTGGACACTGCGCGAAAGAGAGAAGTGTCTCGTCCACGAGGTAGGTAGCTTGTCAATTCGATCATCCATTTGGGATGATATGAATTTGGGCCATGCGGCGGTACGGCGTTGGCCATGGTCCACACTCAAGAAAAAAATATTATAAGATTCATATATTCTGATGCGCGTACGGCCTTTTTCGATCCCCCACTGTCACGCCGAGATTATGGCCGCCGGGAACTTGCCGGCATATTCAAAACGGCCGGTGGGCTTTCTTTTCCCGCCGCAAAGCGCATATTCCTTTCACTCCACGTTGGCCATTACACCGCGCAGTAAGAACATGCCACGTAGAATTTACAGCTGGCCTCCACTCTCCCTCTAATTTTCTTTGTTGTTAAGAATCTCCCATTGCATTAACGAAGCGCGCGTGTGCGTCGAGTGTTTAAAGTTTTTAACGCTTTGCTACTATAGGCGCCCAAAACATTTTACCGGATCAAGTACTAGAAGGAGCCTTTAGTACTTTAATCCAGGTAAAAGTAGCAAACTGGAAAATGGCGGGAAACCACGAGGTAAGAAAAATTCCTCCCACCCCCCCAACGGGGCTCCCGGACCCCAAATGGCCGATTAAATCCGCCGCAATGCCATCTCAACCACCCGCCTAGTTTTAACCTTCCCACGAATTTTACTCGAACTGGTCCACGCCGAATTTCCCTTGTAAGCCGGCTGCATGGCACGCAACCAGCAAGCCTTAACTGTGCATTTCTCACCGCGGGGTAGCGTCTGCCGAAAAGTAACGTATAGACCGGCTGGTCCGCCCGGCCTTAAGCTTCTTAAAGCGAAACACAATGCGCGGGCGCCTGGCCTAGAAGTTCTTTTCGTTTGGCAAGCAAAAGCACGAGAGCGTATGTATCTCTATAGGCCGGTTGCATGGCCGCGTTTTGCCCGGGCTATACCTTCTAATATTCGGTGAATATTCACGAGGGCTTGGGTGGAAGCTTTAGCGTGGGTGTAGAAACCCACGCCTACGGTGTGTGTGTGTGTGTGTGTGTGTGTTGTGTTTTCTTTCTTTCTTTGTGGTACCTATATGCGCGCTGTGCTTTCTGCGTGTTTGGAGCTATGGCGCCGTGACGAGGAGGTTAAAGCGATCGATCGATCCAGGCTAACGCAGCGATCCATTGATCGGCGCATTGGACCGCGGATTGGAATTCGTCGGTAAGCTGTGGATTCCCGTCTTTCTCGGAATTTGCGCTCTCTCCAGCTCAAGATCTGCGGGGAAAGCCCCAAATCTCCGTAATCTTCCCTGCATTGCGCTCGATCTCTCCTCTCCTCACGATCTTGGCCTCCAATTCCGATCCCCGCCGCCAAGCCGCCAATCCCGCAATGCGCGGATTGAGAAATCTTTGCAAGAAGCTGCGCTAATCGATGGGAATTCACTCCTTGGCTGTGTGCTCGCAGGCGCTAATGCTGGAGGCGGACAGCGGCCCACCGGGCTTGTTTCCTCCCGGCTGCTTTGCTCCTCACAGCGGGGACGAGAGCGGGGAGGAGGAGGAGCTCTCGGTTCTTCCCCGGCACACCAAGGTCATTGTGACTGGAAACAACCGCACGAAATCCGTGCTCGTCGGGCTACACGGCATCGTGAAGAAGGCCGTGGGACTTGGCGGCTGGCATTGGCTGGTAAGCAAAACAAATCAATGCTTTCCTTGCTTTGCATTCCTCTCCGGTTTGATTGATCACGGCGGCTTTTCAAATTCCATCTTGCTTCTTCTTCTTGGAAACAGAGCTCGCGATCGCGCGCGATGGATTCCGAGCTCCAGCAAGCATTTTTTCTTCTTCTTGTTGCTATTGTTTTGTTTTATTGATCTCGATGCCCCATGGCGGAATCTAATCGAATTGCTCTTGGCAGGTCCTCACGAACGGGGCCGAAGTAAAACTCCAGCGCAATGCGCTGAGCGTGATCGAAGCGCCCACTGGACAGGAAGAAGACGACGATATCGACAACCCATTCTCGAATGAAACAACACCCGGTATGGCTTCCCTGAAATCAAACTCGCGCTTTTCTCTCTTGATGGCTGACTTCCCGCGCTGCCCAGATGATTTCCCAAGAACATTCAAGCCCAGAGTCCGGCCCCAAAAGCCCGCGGCGCACGAGATCACGCGCATGGCCGATGAATCCAAGCGCAGCTCGGAGAGACGGTGCGAATTCGGCCTCAAGACGTCCCAGTCGCAATGTGTGCCGGTAAGCAAGCATGGAATTCTTTACATATAGCAGCTCAGTTTCCTCTAGCAGGTTTTTCTTTCTGAAACCAAAACGTTTCTTCCTCCTTTCTTAGGTTGTGGACCTTGGTAAACTCGATACGGCAGCGCTAAGGAGATATCGGCGACACTTCAAGCTCGTAAGCCCATCTATCTACTTTTGACTTCATGGGAGAGAAACGAAAGAAAGAGAGATGCATGTTTATCGAGAGAGAGAGAGAGAGAGAGAGAGAGAGAGAGAGATCCGTGTCTAAAACACCCGTCTTCTCAGTTTGATGTAGGCCCGAATTCCTCGAAAGAACAGCTACTGCAAGCAGTGTCAAGGCACTTCGTGGGACAAGTAAGTCGCTCCTCGTCCCGTGACCCCATTTCATTTCATTCCCCTCGTAAAGACGATAGCTTTGCGTTTAAACAAGCAAACTTATCCCCCTTGTGTGGTGGTGGCGTGGCAGCAACTGGACGAGCTGCAGGTGATCACAGGATTTGTGCAAGCTGCAAAACGGCCGCGAATGTGAGCTGCGCTGTGCTGCCGCTGCTCCCTGCTGCTAGGCTGCTACCTTCGACGAGAGACGAAGATTTGCGCGACCAAACTTTTGCCAGGCATAAAAACTTGTAAGATATCTACAACCCTCCCCCGTCCTCTTTTTTCCTCGTTTTTTTTTTCTCCTCCGTCCTCCTTTCCTTGTTCTGGTCGTCACTGTCCCATTCCTAGTAATTCTCGTATGGGAGAAACGCTGCTGCCGCTGGCTCTTCTGTCCCCTTGCTTCTCGCTCGCTCGCCTGATCGCCTTCCCCCCTATAACTTATGCTCTTGTTCGCCACGGGGGGTGCTTAACTTCTAACCAAATGTGTCTAAACTGTACAGAGGTGCCAGAAAAGAATGAGAAAAAAAGAAATTTCTAAACACCACGTCTTTGATCGATCGATAGCGATGAATGATCTTAGAACCTCGCCGTGAATCATGAAAGAGGAAAATTCTTTGGTGTGGATGGATCGTGGAAGGATGACTTTGACTCACACTAGCACTAACGAAAGTGGGCGAGGAAAGTGGGGGCGGTAGTGGAAAAAACGTATTTGACTTTTTGAAAACGCGACACCCAAAAGGACGCGCGCTCTCTGTTAAGTCTCTTTGATTTTATTCTCGTCCGAGATCTCTGCGCGGCGAGATTTTCTTGCTTGCTCGATTGACAAAACTTTGTAGGGAGCAAAAAGATTTGGTTTGCTCGAGAAAACAAGGCGCACCTAAGATCTTTAGAGCTCGGATGTGAAGTCGGGCTTGGCGGATAGGTGCAACCCGAGCGCTGGATGATGACGTTGGCGGCGTAGTTTCCGGCCTCGCAGCACCGCGGGATACTCTTGCCTTGCACCAGATGTGACAAGAATCCACCAACAAACGCATCACCTGGAAAGAAAAGAAGGATGCTTTGTTAAGAGGGTCCAAAAGGATAGAACTGGCAGCGACAACGATGGACAAGCTAGCGATATTGAAATGCTCGCTCACTCACCGGCCCCATTTGTGTCGACGAGCTTCTCCTTTGGAAGGAGCTTCACTGGAAATCTTGTCACCTGGGGACCGACGGAGTTGAGATATGAAAACACAGAAGCTTTTGGTCTCTTACCTTGCCGTCCTCCGCGACGACCGTCGGGTCGGCCCCCTGCGTGATGACTGTGACTCGCTTGTGAGTCCCCGACGCCTTTGGAAGTGCCGAGATCTTTAGAGCGATGGTCTCGACGTCGTCAGTCTGTCCAAAGAGGAATGAGAGACTTGGTTAGAGTTGGAAGACAAGTTTAAGAGCAAGTCCTTTAAACCTCCCAGTTTTGACTCTTTGAAAAAGCCCTGGCCTCGGTCTCGTTCCCAAAAACAAAGTCGATGTACCTGTGGGCATCGCGAACACATGAAGCAAAAAAAAAAACGAAAAAGTGCATTGGACACGTCTCAAGGATGTGCACTCACGGAAATGCCTCCATCAGCTGGCTGGTAAAGAACTCGCATATGAATGGGGCCGCCAGGTTCATCATGAAATACTGCACGCAGTGAAGATGCGAGAAAAACTCATCAGAGCTGAGGGAAAATGCATGCGCACAATTCACCTTTCCTTTCTCAGCTGCGTGCTTGGCGATAAGCATCACAGATTTCGCAGAGACTGTCAAGAAGAACCCGGCTATATAAAAGAATTTCGCCTTTTCAACTGCATGCAAGCTTTCCATGAGACAAAAGGAATCCAACTACACGAAATGGATTTACCGAATGCCCAGTTTTCAGGCTGCTCCAAATGGTGAACTTTATAGCAGTTTGCAGCAGACAGGTTGGCAACCAAAGACCTGAAGCGACAAGAGAATTATCTACAGAGGAACAAATCTTTTAGAAGTATACCTTTCTCCTCCCACAACGAGAACAGCACAGGTACCGGTGGGTGTGGATTCATCTTCGTAGTATCGAACCTGCAAAAGGATCCAACTCCGATTAATATATCAAGATCCACACTGCGGAGAAACACTTACATTCACCCCGCCAGCAGTCGAGCTCTTCTTCATCTCTTTTCCGAATTCGTCCTTTCCAATGCAGCCGATGAATGTGGTAGCACCGGGGACTTGCAGCATCCACTACACACAGGCTACACATTTCAGCCTCGAGAAGAAACCAAAGATGCGAACTTGAATTACCTGGGCGACCCGAATAGCATTCTGAGTGGCACCTGAGAAAAGTTTGAAAGATTTTTCCTCGGTATGGATCGACAGGCTATATAGCGAAAGAAATACCTCCGGCAATGTAATCAACCTTGTACTTGTTAGCGAGCTCTCGGTACCTGGAAAAACACGAAAAAGAAAGGAACATAAGAACACTAGAGCCGGAATTTCCAGATCTGGAATCACACGCATCGACATCTCGCAATGCTTACATTGGCAAATGCTTCTCCTCGGCCAGGATGGCGTTGTTTAGCTTCACATCATACCTGGAGAACGATATCACGCGTTATCCAGCGGCAAATCTAGAAAAGATGAAGAGAACGCCAGCACAAACTTCTCAAGAAAGCTGGGATCCACGACAGCTGAGATGTCGAGCAGAGGGTTTCCAATCCCGAGAAGAACGCCTTCCAGATCTTCCTGCCGAGCCATTCCCTAGAAAATCTCGAGAGAGAAGCGAAGGGACGAGAAGAAGAGGCGCGGCGCTCTTGGCGGGCGAGCAAAGCGCCAATGCAGCCACAAGAAGAAAGAGAGGAAGGTTTAAGCCGAGAAGAAGAAGAGATATTAACCTAAACGAGCTTTTAAGCGACGAGATTCGAGACCGCGACCTCCTGTGGTAGGTGGCGTGGCGCAGTGAGTCGTTTCAGCCAATGGAAAACCATCTAGTCAAACATTGAGAGCCAAAATTGTCCACCATGGTCTCCACATTTTTGACAATAGCATGAGATTAGCTGCCAACGTTGATGGTACGCTAAAGTCCTTTGTTTCGCTAGTAAATTCTTGCTCCATTAACAGAGATTTGCGGGCTGCAAAGCTAGCGCATCTACAAATCTTGCAATCCCCACACAGAAACGACCGCTTTCTGGCAAATTATCTGATCAAAATGTACGGCAGGTGTGGTAGTGTTGAAAATGCAAGAGATGCTTTTGCCAGCATCAAAGACCCAAACTTGTTTTCTTGGAGTTTGATGTTTACAGCAGTTGCCCAGAACCGGCATTTAGAGTACGCTCTAGAAATCTTCCATCGAATGCCAGAGAGAAACCTAGTGATTTGGAACACACTAATGCTCGCTTACTCCGATATCTCGCAACACGATATAGCGGAGAATATCCTGAGCATAATGCCCGAGTGGGATATCGTGTCCTGGAACTCCATGCTCCAAGCATATGCCAAAAAAGGGTACCTGGAGCGCGCAAAGATTCTCTTCGACGACATGGGCGAGAGGGACGTGGTGTCGTGGACGACGATGATATCCGCATATTCCTCGTGTGGGCTCGTCCACGATTCCTTGATGCTCTTTACGAAGATGCCAGGGAGGAACCAGGTATCTTGGAATTCCATCACGCACGCGTTTGCTCTCAATGGCTGCGTGGGCGATGCCAAGCGCTGCTTCGATCGGATGCCCGAGCGCAATCTCATCAGCTGGACGGCGCTGGCTGGCGTCGATCCGGAGCTCGCGATGGAGCGGATCCCGGCGTGGCCGGGCGCGTCAATTCTGGGCTTGATCTCGGGCTATGGAGAGGCCGGGGAGCTGGACAGAGCCCTGGCGATCTACAGCGCCATTCCGGGCGAGGATCTGGAGCTCTCGACTAGCATGATCCACGCGTATGCGCGCAATGGGGAGCTGGATCCGGCGATGGCTTTGTTCGATCGAATGCGGCAGCGGGATCTCGTGGTGTGGTCGCTCATGGTGTCGGCGCTCGCGCATCACGGGCGATTAGCGGCTGCCGGGGATTTCTTCGCCAGGATGCCCGAGAGGAGCATCGTGGCCTGGAGGGCGATGATCCAGGGGCACGCGCAGAGCGGGCGATCGCAGGATGTCGCGAGGATTTTCGAGGATCTGCCTCAGAGGGACGCTCTCTCCTGGACATCTTTGATCGTCGCGCATGCCAATTGTGGGGATCTCGCGAAAACAAGGCAGTGCTTTGAAAGATCTCCCGAAGTAACGGTGGTAGCGACTTGTGCTATGATCAGTGTGCTTGGAAGGTACGGTCATGTAGAAGAGGTCAACCTATTATTTAAATCCGTACCAAACGAAGATCCAATGGCTTGGACTGTCGCTATAACCACAAATGCCAAGTGTGGGCATTTAACTAACGCAAAGACCTTGTTTGACAAAGCGACAAAGAGAGACGTTAGGGTATGGGATGCCATTATAGGGGCATTTGCACAAGAAGCGTATTTAAGCAGGGCGTTAATTGTGTTTAGCAAGATGCCATGTTGGGACGTAGTAGCCTGGAACACCATTATCACCGCAAATGCCCTCAAGGGGCATCAAGAGGAAGCGTTGGATTTCTTCGCGATTATGCCCCAGAAGAACGTGGTGTCGTGGACGGTCCTGATCGCCGCGAATTCCCACGCGGGAAGGTGCAGGGACTCCATCGCGATTCTCCACTCGATGCAGCAGTGTGGATTCCTCCCCGACGACACCACATTCACGATCGTCTTGCTCGCGTGCGCTCACGCGGGGCTCCTGGACGAGGCGCGCTGGTGCTTCGAGCTCATGGTGCGCGACTACTCGATCCAGCCCACGCGCGAGCACTTTGGATGCCTGATCGATGTGCTCGGCAGGAGTGGATCGCTGGGCGACGCCCAAGCGCTCATCGATGTGATGCCCTACAGTGCCGACAATGTGGCGTGGGGGATGTTCCTCAGCGCTTGCCGGCTGCATCGCGATGTGATTGGAGCCAATTGCGCGGCGGATCGTGCCATCGAATTGGCGCCCACCATCTCTTCCTCGTATGTGATGCTCGCGAGCTCTCTGGTTTGAACGATGAACGAGGGCCGTTGATGTGCCCGGCAGGAGGAGCGATCCCAGCCGTTGGGTTCTGGAACGAGCTCTCTGGTTTGAACGATGAACGAGGGCCGTTGATGTGCCCGGCAGGAGGAGCGATCCCAGCCGTTGGGTTCTGGAACGAGGAGAAGCAATGGATAGCGTCGTGTGCTCCGCTAGGGTTTTGGGGCCCCGGAGCGTCATTCCTTCGTTTCGGCCGCATTGTCAGCCCCAGCGCCAGAGGACGCAGCAGCGATTTCGTCTCAGTGAGTAATCGATTTGCGCAGATTGCGTAGAAATCTGAGAGGAGAAATCTCGCTGTTTTTCCAGGCATTGTCGCGGTTTCCAGCAATGACTTTAAGACTGGAACGGAGATTGAGATTGACAATGCGCCCTGGCGCGTCATCGGTGAGTTTTTCTTGTTTGATAGATATTTTCCAGGGAGAATGACCGCATTGTTTGTAGAGTTTTTGCATGTCAAGCCTGGCAAAGGCTCTGCCTTTGTGCGAACCAAGCTAAAGAATTGCATCACTGGCAACACTGTGGAGCGGACGTTTCGGGCAGGAGAAGTTGTAAGTGTTTTCCTATATTCTCAAGGAACAAGCATTGACGAGCTTCTCATTTTCTCTCTAGCTAGAAGACGCCACAGTCCAGAAGAACGTAAAGCAGTTCACTTACAGAGATGGCGATCAGTACGTTTTCATGGACATGGTAAGAGCTAATCGAGAATTCATCTTGCGCCTTTCGAGAATTTTTTTTCTTGTAGGTTTCTTTTGAGGAATCTCGCTTGAATGCCAAAGAAATTGGAGACAAAGCAAACTGGCTGCGTGAAGGAATGGACTGCACAGTTGTGTCGTGGAAAAATCGGGTATGTCTGTCCCGTTTGTGTTCTCCCTTGTTTCAATATGTTTTAACTCGATCTCACGACGCAGATTCTCGAGGTAGACTTGCCAATCGCTGTGAAATACAAAGTCGTCCAAACGGATCCAGGAGTTAAAGGAAACAGAGAGTCAGGTATAGATGAATTCAAGGGATCCTGTCTAGGTTTCGTGAAAGATTTTGTTCATCTTCAGGTGGAACGAAACCGGCAACACTGGACACTGGAGCTGTGGTTAACGTCCCGCTGTTCGTGGATGAAGGGGAGGAGATTATCATCGATACGCGCACTGGGGAGTACATGAGTCGCGCAAAATCTTAAGAGTAAGTTGTCCTCTGCGATCCAAATTTTGTAGGAGCTGTGTTAGTGGATCGCTTCCATGGCCTCCTCAACAAAGAAGTCCAGTTTTTGGAGAAATGTAGCAAGGAAGATCAGGTATCGATCGCATCTTTTTTGAATTTAAGGATATTCCTGTCTCCCGCGCTTCTACTTTAGGGCTTTTGAGCTGCGATAACGCTCGCGAGCACGGCGTAGGAGCTCGATCTCCTGGGCTCCAGCGCGATAGCTTCCCTCGCAGCTCGCTTCGCCCTCTCAAGATCACTGTGCGTCCGGCACGACCCCAGGAAGCTCATCCAGATGAGAAGATTGGGACGCCCGCCGGGGATCCTGCCCATGAATCGCTCCGCCTCGGCGAGCGCCCCCAATCGCCCCAGCAGGTCGATCACGCAGCCAAAGTGCTCCACCTTGGGCTGGATGCCGTGGTCCAGCCGCATGGACGCGAATTGGCGCAGGCATTCCTCGAGCATCCCGGCGTGGCTGCAGGAATTGAGCACCGAGACGAAGAGCGCCGGGTGGATCTTGACGCCTTCTTGCTGCATCCTCCCCAGGATCTTCATCGCTTGCCCGAGGCGGCCGCGATGCGCATACGCCCCAAACAGCGTGCTCCAGGCGAGCTCGTTCTTGTTCTTGGCGGGCATCCCATCAAATATTCCTTGGGCGATGGCCAGGCAACCGCACCGCCCGTACATGTCCACCAGGGATGTGGCCACCACGGCTTCTTGCTCGAGCCCTAGCGCGGCGGCGAGCGCGTGGATCGATCGCCCCTCGGCGAGCGCCGAGAGATTCGCGCAGCCGTCGAGGACCGCCGCGAATGTGAGCTTGCTGGGGCGGATCCCGGCGATTTGCATGCCGCGGAAGATCGCCAGCGCCTCCTTCCATCGCCCGTGCTGCGCGAAGGCGCCGATGATCGTGTTGGACGACACCAGGGATTCGTCGCCACGGTGCTCGCGGAAGATCGCCGCTGCTCGATCCAGTCGCCCGCATCGGCCGTAGAGATGGAGCACGCAGTTGATCAGCACTGGGTTCTCGATCACCAGCAGCCCAATTTCCAGCGCGATCGCGTGGATCGCCTCGCCGGCCTCGAGCGCTTCCAGATTCGCGCACGCGGTGAGCGCGAGCACGCAGCTCACATTGTCCGGCGCGATCGATCCGGTGGAGATCATCTCCTGGAACAGCGCCAGTGCCTCCTCGTCTCTCTCCTGCTGGATGCAAGCGCTCATCATCGTGTTCCACGAGATCACGCACTGGCTCGCGTAGATCTCCCGGAAGACCCCGCGCGCCTCCGCGAGATTGCCAGACTTCCCATACATGTTGATCACGGCATTTGCCGCGAGAGGATTCTCTCGCAGGAATCCAGCGTCGGAAGCGATCCTATGGATGATCCTCCCGTCCTCCACATCCGAGCAAGCGCCCAGGACGCTGACGATCGTAACAGCATTCGCGCGAAATCCCCCCTGTTGCATCGATCGAAAGCAAAGAATCGCATCGCGGTTTTGCCCGGTCTTGGCAAATGCGTGGATCATACTTGTCCAGGTGATAAGATCTCTCTCGCGCATCCCAGCGAAGATCCCAGCGGCGGATCCGGCGCTGCCACACCTCCCATACATGCTGATAATCGCATTTCCCAGCTTTGTCGCATGGGATCGGCCGAATCCACTCGCCAGGATCTGGAAGTAGATCGCCTCTCCCAGCCGCGCGCTCGAGCAGGCGCCAAGAACAGTGATGAAGGTGATTGGATCGGCGCGCTCGCCATCGAGCAGCATCCTGCGGTAGAATCGCAGCGCCGTGGAGGATTGCCCGGCGTCGGCATAGGCGCCGATCGCCGCGGTCCACAGCACGACGCTCCTCCTGCCCGGGATTCGATCAAACACCTCGATCGCGTCACGGAGGCTGTGGCAGCGGAGATACATGTGGAAGAGATGCGCGGCGAGAAAGGGATTGGAGGATTCCAGGAGGCCCGCGGAATGGGCGATGATCCGGGCGTGGATCGCCCAGCCATCGTCCAGCGATCGCGAGCTCCCGCAAGCGCGCAAGAGAGAGCAGTAGCCCTCGGCGTCGATCGATCGCTTGGCTTCCATTCTCTGCAGCGCGCGCCATATCGACGAAGAGGGCATGCATTGGGAATATTCTCCAGGTCCAGCTCAAAAAGAATCTTTCAATGACCTTTTAATGTGACGTTTCTTGCAGTATGGGAATTAGGGCTTAATGCGCGATGATGCTTGTCCGCGGGATTCGTAGCGGCCGCGCGGCATCGGCGCTTCGCGCGACGCTCATCGGTAAGATTCTAGCTGCTGGCGATTCTCTAGAACTCACGATCGCGCGCGCTATTGCAGGATGCTCGCAAATCGGCCATGGCGCCCGAGGCTTCGCTGGAGGGAGCGAAGCCGCCGATTCCTCTCCCGGCGGCAGCTGGGGGACTCTCTCGGTGGGAATCCTGTTTGGAGCTGCTGCCCTGTACTCACAACCGGCATTTAGCGACAGCAAAGTTGTGAGTGTGATTGTGAGCTTGCATGAAGATGTTCTGATTGGTTTTTCTTCTCTTTTGTCTAGTCCGGAGGATTCTTCTCGAGCAAAGTATCGGGAGGAAACTCGACTTCTTCGGACGATATGGAGAAGACACTGGAGGAAGTTCGCGAAGGATTGCGGGAACGATTGCGACCCTTGAAAATGCACGCTCTTCCTCCTATTACCGTCGTTTCTAGAGGGCAGCAGGTACCACGAATGCATCTTTCCCTTTCTATGGTCTTTTAATTGTTACTTCATTGTAACTAACAGGTTGCGGTCAGGTTTCCCGTGCCTCCAACTTGCGACACTTACCGGCTTGTCGTTGATCTGGTTTCTCATCTTGGTGGTGATGTGGATCTGGCCGTGAGAGCTTCCAGCAGGTAGTGTAGAGACACAGTTGCGGCGATTTGATCTCTTCGTTTGTTCTGAATCAGTGCAGTTGCTCGACAGTTGGTAGTTTCCCATCCTGATCGAAACAGCGACAAAGTTTCTACGGACAGGCTTTGCGTTGTCATCTTCGAACCTCTCATAGGGGAGAAATCGTCGGTACGTTTGTTTGCTTTTAGATGAGAACTTGATGAGTGCGTGCAGTTGCAGGAAATAGAGTTTTTAAGAAAAGGGAAGCTGAGTTCGGCGGAGCTTGACACGGTGATAAGTACTGTACGCACAGCTGCCGGTATCAACGTAGAGCCAGCGCCAAAAGTGAGAATTTTTAAGGGAGAAGTGAATGGAAGAAAAGTTAAGCGAGCTTTAGACGCTTTGGATAAGCTTGGAGTTAAGGTCTATGGCCTTGACATGGAGAGTGGCGAGACTGAGGCGGAAGGTCTCACGTGGCAAAGTATTGCAGGATATCACGAGCAAAAGAGGTACTTTTTCTTTTCTTTGTTGTTATCCAGCTTACGTGTGTGATACAGGGAGATAGAAGATAACGTCCTCCTAGCTCTAAAACGTCCAGAAGTTTATGACAGTATTGCAAGAGGAACTAAGGAAAAGTTTGAGTCTAATAGACCACGCGCAGTCTTGTTTGAAGGACCTCCAGGTAGGTTTTAGAAACTGAAGCGGACCTTCTCATTCTTTCCGTTTACACAGGTTGTGGAAAGACTTCATGTGCGAGAGTTATAGCCAGTCAAGCGGTATGTGTCATGTCTTCAATAAGCTTGTTTTCTTGTTCGCTGACTGGATTGTAATGCCAAAAACAGGGTGTTCCTTTGTTGTATGTGCCTCTGGAAGTTGTGACATCCAAATATTATGGAGAGAGCGAACGCTTGCTTTCTTCCGTGTTTAATGCGGGAAATGATTTCCCGGATGGCGCAATTGTGTTTCTGGATGAGGTATATCGAGCTTTTTTGTTTAATCCATATTTCAGCAATGGACCTTACAGATTGATTCGTTGGCAACGAGCCGAGATAGTGATATGCACGAAGCCACCAGAAGAATGCTGTCAGTCCTCTTGAGACAGGTACAAGATTTTTTTCGTCTAGCTTTCCCGGTATTTAGACTGGTTATCTTACTTGGGAGAAGATGGATGGATTCGAGCAAGATAAACGGATTGTTGTCATCGCGGCAACAAATCGGAAACAAGATCTTGATCCGGCGCTGCTCAGGTCCGCTTCCAAGTTTTGAATCAGTCGGAGTCTTACCGTTTTTTGGCAGCCGGTTCGATGCTTCAATCACTTTCGATTTGCCTGATTTACAAACAAGAGAGGAAATTGTAGCACAGTATGCGAGGCACTTAAGCCGGAAGGAATTGTCCTCTGTTGCAGCCACAAGTGAAGGGTACAATGCACACTTTTATGAGTACTGGTTTTGAACTTTTCTTCATCCAGGATGTCAGGTCGCGATCTTCGTGACGTTTGTCAACAAGCAGAACGAAAGTGGGCTTCTAAGGTGAATTTCATTTTTATTATTAGGAAAGATCTTACGTCTTCGATTCCTGCAGCTAATCAAGGGACTCGTTGGAAATCCACCCACGCACGAACTTCCTCCTGTTCAAGAGTACATGGAGTCGGCTGCTAAGCGGCGAAGGACACTCGTGAAATGGGCCGAAGAGCAGGTTGTACAGCAATCCTCCAAAGCTAAAGTAGCTCTCAGTACAAGCTAAAGAAAAAAGGGAGTTTCTTCTATCGCCCTTTTTCCTGATGACACTGGTTGGATGTTGGCTTCACCTCTTAGATAAGTCTGAGAATCGCTTCAAGGAGCGCGAGTCCAAAAACATGCCTGAAGTGAAGAAGCTGTCATCAAGTCAGATCATCAAGCCTGGTAAGTCGTCGTCCTCCTCGTCAGTATCAAACTTCTCACTGTCAGGTGCGTAGCTTCTGTTTTGGAGAGCTCTCTTTCTCAGCACGTAGACGTTAAAGTAGTAGCTTACCAGCTCCTCCCGGCTCCTCCTTCCCGCGAAGGAAGCTTGGAGGTCCGGCCAAAGCTTCTCCTCCTTGTCCCCGCGGCAGCTTCTCACGATCGCCGCAAACTCAGCTTGCTCTTGCCTGCTCCACTTGGCCGACTTGATCAAGCTCTCCCCCATTGAGTGAAACCCCCACTCGCGGAAGACGTCATCTCCCAGCTCGAGCTTGAGCTTCCTGCGTTGCTCGTTGACGTGTAGCTTCACAGAGTCTTCCGAGCTATCGTCCGCGCTGAAGCACGTACTAGCGGTATGGCTTCGGCTTCCCGCCACCCTTTTGGACCAGACCACTCTTCCTAGAAAGAGCTTTGAGTCATCGTCGTCGGCATGGAGAGCCACAGTGGAAGGAACTTTGGCTTGAAAGCTTGGTCCGATTGGGACGCTCTCAGGCTCCGAGGAACTTGGAGGCTGAGGTTTGGGTCGAGGTGTGAGAGAGCGAAGGCTATACTTGGAAGGTCGTCGTGCTCTAGTGTTATCGTATCTCTGTACGTAAAAATACATACGAAGACGTCAGTTAGTTATTAAATGACATAAACCATTGGATTGATTAATTGTACCTTTTGGTGGTTGTCTTGCCTCTGGAGGCGACCCAAGAATGCCCTGATTGTAGCTTGGAATTTCCCACTGTCCCCTTCACGGAGGGCTGCATTTCCTGGATCCAGAGCCAGCTTCCTCAAATGGGCCAGGGCCTCTTTGACATGAGAGTGAATTGGAGGCTTTAAGGCCTCTTTGACATGAGAGTGGATTGAAGGCTTTTCATTTGGATCAACACTGGCTTTGGTGACATTTGCAGATGTAGCACCAGCACCAAAGACCCTGCCACTCTCAAAAGCCTTGAGGTACTTCAGATAGACTAACTTGACACTAGGCCCACAATGTGGTGGCAACCCTATTGAGGCTGCCACATCCCCCCACTTTCTAGACCCACTAGTTTTAGAGTACCCACCTGACTCTTTCACCTTGTCTAGCAAGAGTGCAAGGTTCACCTTATTACCTGCTATGAATACTGGAAGTGGTCTCTGCCCAAGTGCTCTTCTAGCTTGTAATGCCCACTCAACCTCCTTCTCAAATGCATCATTTCTAATTTCCATTGCTTCCCTTGGCAGCCCTAAAGCCCACTTCTAGGGTTTTACATACTCAAAAGTTGCAAAGTGATTTCATTCTTGGCAGGATTTGAGCCTAAGACTCTTGCACTTATGAAGTATATATTTTGCATATAAGGTAAGAAAGCTACTTTTTGGAGTTTGTATAGCTCTTTGCCTCTTCACATCAAATCAAATTTATAAACTAGTATCAAAAGAATCCAAAATCATTCTAAATTCCACAAACATCACTAAAATTTACCTAAAACCACTTCAAATTGTACACAAATCACTAAATCTATTGATATATTTGTAAGTCTGACCAATCTTGTAACATCATCACAATAGAAAGCCCATGTTTCTTGTCCAACATTGTCAATATAATCACACTTCTTATTTAAGCGACTTGGAGGGCAATGGGTTTTTGAAGGTGAATCTAAAGTGCAACTTTTCAAGTTCTACAAAAATTATACCCAATTTGCATTATTAACCATAAATGCCAAAGGATACATCTTTAGCATTTACTCTAATTAGAGATGCTCTATATGCAATAAACAAGCATCTGTCATCTTTCTTTACAAAGAAGTGTAATTACTGAGATTGCTTGTGATGAGCATATTCG